GGTCCAGAAGCCAGATATGAGGTCCAGATACAGAGCAACCAGTGGAGTTAGTGGGCTGCAAGAGGGAAATCACCACAGGGACAAAGAGGAACCCATAAGCTATTTTTATTGTGTTCAAATGTGAAAATGTTAGTGATAACTGTGGGAAAGACTTCCAGGAATTTGGGGGAGGAGGGAATAGCAATAGGTATAAGGAAATCCAAAAACACATGGAAATTCTTTTAAAAATATAAGTTATAAGAGAAATGAAAGGTAACCATCAGGGTACATTGCTTGATTCCACAGAAAGCAATGTCACAGTGATATAAATACTGATGACAGATCTATCTATATCTGAAAAAGATCAAAATAAATAATCAATAAAATAGAAAAAGTCTACATTCCTAAATACTATGAGAGGAATCAAAATTAAAAATGAAGGAATGGAATAATAATATTGAAAAATGGAGGAATGGCACTAGAAAAAACAGCTGAAAGAATTGCCCTTGAGGCATAATTGCCTTGGAGGTTGCCTTTGAGGAATAAACAAATTAGAAAGTGAAATTTATTTATTTTATAGTGATTATAAGGTAATCACTATACATGTTTGACAATTTGATATATAAAAGCGTAGTTTTACCCCACAGCCAGGATTCTGTTCATACTAGTATTTTCTGTTAAGACTTGCTTTTTCATTCATTAAGTTGATCTTGTACTACATATCAGAAACATTTCACCTCAATCCATATGGATTTCTCCACACCTTTTAATCATCATATAAGAGTCACTTTCCTATGTACCATTTTTTTTATTTCAATTCCCTTTTATGGGCATTTATTTTTCATATTGTGCCCTTACCAGCAACATTCTGATGAACATTCTTGTTATATTATTTATGCACACACATGCTATATGTCCTTAGGAAGCATGGCCAGAAATGGTACTGCCTGGTCAAAATTTATAGTTTTATAAAAATTTCCTGGTTATTTTTCAAAATAGTGGACAAATGGATCTGTACCTATAAATTATATTTTCCACAAACAGTGATAATGTTGACTCTTTCATGTAAGTTTTTCTATTTATGGTTTTGTTGCATGATCTAATACTTTCTGGAAAAAATCCATTAACATTAATAGAAATAGAATTTTTGCTTATATTATTCCCAAATTAGAATACTTCATCATAACATTTCTCTGGATAATTAAAATATTGGATGTTTGTTTTGGGGGGATTTTGTGTGTGTGTGTGTGTAATTGTTGCTGCAGTTTGTTTGTGAAATAATTTTTTTTTTTGTACAGAGAGTTTGAGTCAGGAATAAATATTAAGTTTATTTAATATCTTGACATTTACTGAGTTGTGTTTATTAAACACATATACTCTATGTCCAGTAGACAAATCCTCTGCTGTTTAGTTAAATAGCAGAATGGCTTTTAAGTTATTATTTTAGAGAGCATTTCTAGAGAACTGTGCTTTGTATAAATACATAAATTTTAAGAACTAGAATCTGAATGACGAGTTGGTCGACTGGGCTGGAAGAAGATGACCTAAATGTTTACAACTTTTTCTTAGCTACTGAAATACAGAAGACTAATTGCTTGATCAAATTAGGCAATTCTTTAACATCATCCTTAAGAACATTTGTAAAGAAATACTGGTCATGAGTCATGGAGCTGTGTTTGGAAGACTAATGAATCCTTACACTTACAAGCCTTTTTAATCAACACACTTTTGTTTTCCCTTTTTAGGGGCACTGCCATCGCTGGCATCGTGTTTGGAATCGTATTCATCATGGGGGTCATTGCTGGAATTGCCATCTGCATCTGCATGTGTGTAAAGAACAGTCGGGGCACCCGGGTGGGTGTCATCAGAACCACCCACATCAACGCCATCTCCTCCTACCCTGGTAAGCAAAACTGGTTTTTATTTGTTTGTTTGTTTGTTGGGGGGAGGGGGGGTTGTGTGTTTGTTTGTTTGTTTTTTTCAGTTTTTGGCTGGGGCTGGGTTTGAACCCACCACCTCCAGCATATGGGACCAGCGCCCTACCCTTTTAAGCCACAGGTGCCACCCAGCAAAACTGTTTATTCTTGAAGGAAAAGCCAGATTTTTGAGTTACGATCGACTTCTTAGAGAGAGAAGGAAACACCACAGACTCTCATGGAAATAATCTCCAATTTTGTAGGAAATTTCTACATAATTAAAGATTGACACTCTAGCTTTGAACAGAGATTACTTAGATCCACATAATAAAGTTTATCTTGTATTTGAAGATATTTCTATTTTCAGTGGTAGTCCCATTGATTACAATTACCAGTCTGGCAGAATTAAGGTAAATAGACAATTCATACCCACTGTGTCTACCTGCTGGTGAGTTCTGACACTTGATTATAGAGAAAATTTTATGTCTCAATAAACTGGCATCTGATTCAATAGAAGTATATGTTTTGAGAAAAAGTATTGAAGAAGTATTTATACGTCCTCATTATGCAAAGAGAAATGCTTTAACCTTATCTTATTAAAATTCTCAACGAAGAGCCAAGGTAATATATTAATAATTTGACAAATATTTGTTGAGACTATGTTAAATATCTACATATAAATACATCACGTACACGTAAACCCACAAACAAAATACTGGGTTTTGCATTCGATGGTTTCAGTAGTGCTTCCTAGGTCAGTCTGTGCATGTACAATTTGACACATAAAAAGCAAGCAAGTTCTGAATTTAATACACCCTTGTGAAGATAATTTCCCGTCTACACTCAGCTCCTCTCTCAGTCCTTATTGAAAATGAACAGGGTACCCTCTACATACACTCTGCCTTATGTATCAATTGCCTAATCTTTCCTTTCTCTTTTAACCTTTTCTCTATTGCCTTCAGCTTGAGGGAACCAATTTGGAATGGACTGTGGGAATAACAGCTTCTCCTGTTTTCCTGTTTTCCTCTTTTTCTTTTGTCAGTGTGCTCTCATCTCCTTTACCGTCATGCTGTGCTGCTTTCCGCTGGTCTTCTGTCTTCTTCCACAATGTATTTACACTCACTTCTTTGGTTGTGTCATTTGGCCTTGAGCTTTTAAGCATCATTTATATGCTAATGCTTCCCAAAGTTATATATCTCCATTCCAAATCTCTTTACTGAATTTCAGATTCATTTTCTCCCCCTGCCTTCAGTTGAATATCTAATAAATATCCCAAATTTAACCTGTCTAAAGCTCTAGATCTGATCCTCCCCCAAAATTCTTCTTCATAATTTCAATTGATGACATCTCTAGCCTTCCAAATGCTCACTACAAAAACCCTGAAGTCATCCTTGACTTCTGTTTCCTTCAAACCTACATTCAGTCTATTAGGAAAACATCTAGGCTCTACCATCAAAATACATACACTATCTGACTATTTCTCACAGTGAGACATAGATGCTGTTGCCACCCGGATCTTACTCCTCCTCTAACATCCTAACTGGTCTTGTCTTTCAGCATCCACCTTTGGCACTCTGGGGTCTATTCTCAACCCAGTAGTCAGCGTGACCTTTTAAAGTAAATGTCAGATCAGATCACTCCGGTGCTCAAACTCTTCCAGTGACTCTTCATTTCCCCCAGAGGAGAGCCAAAGCCTGTGGCACTGGGGCCTTCAAGGTGCCACATGAATCAGTTCCTCTTTTCATTTCTCCTGCCTCATTTCCTTCCCTTCTTTTCTCTGCTAATCTGGCTCTGATAACACTTCCTCTCCCCTTTGCTGGTCCATGAACACACAGGCCACACTGACTCCCTCACCTCACTCAAATCTCTGATCATAGGTCACCTCTTAAATCAAGCCTGCCCTGCTCGCCCTGTTTATGATTGTGATGTGTCCCTCCCCCACAGGACCCTACTCTTCCTGGGCTACTCGGCTGTTTCTCCAGGGTGCATTAAATTTTCTAAGACATCATATGGTTTACCTGATCATTATGTTTACTCTTTATTGCCCTTTTCCTCCTCCTAGACTATTAGCTCTACTTTGCTCCATTTTGTTCACCATCTCTCCCAAGCATGCAGACCCTGGCTTGGTATATAATAGAACTCAGCTGAGTGAATAATGAACACATTCATGATAAGACCCGGCATAGTCATACATCCCTATCTAGGGAACTGACCTCAAATTGCCCCCTGGAATATGTAGAATTTACTCACTACAAAAGCACTGGGCAATTTCAAATCTTCCCAACTTGCAAAAATACTATTTGGGATGCTGTTAAGATGTTGAGATATAAGAAAAGAAATAAATATAATTATTTTTTATTCTTCACATCTCTCCATTTTTCCCTGGGCTAACACATAACCCAAAATGAAAACAAAGGAAAGTCAAGCAAAGATATCAATTGGAGAGAAGGCAGGAAGTTGTGCTTTGTGGTAGAGCACTCCAGGTGCTCATTTTCTACATCAAAAAATTTTTTAAAACATTTTAAAATACTTCTATAAAATATATTTTTCATTTTACCCTTCTGAAAGTCCATCCAAACTTTGATTGAAATTAAAAGATACTGAATGTCACTGTTTTAAAGCGAGGTCACATGTTTTCCTGGGTTTGAGACTTTCTGTTCTGTGCGTGGAAATATGCTTTTAAAGCTTTAGAGCGGCATCATTTAGACCCGCAGATCACAGCAGCATGTTATGTTTTCAGTAAATGCGTTGTTCTAAAAACTGAATAATGTAAGAAACATAATGAAGTGAACCTTATGCTGGAAGCATTTTTACGACAAAAAACTAGGTCTTCAAAAACATAATGTGCGTGATTACTTCTCATTTCCTTCTCAAAGTCACTAATTAAGCTTTTATTTAAAGGATAGCCAAACAACATATAATAGTATTAAAGGCTTTTCAAAATCTTTCATCTGTAAAATCACGAAATTCTTTTACCCATGTAAATTAACCCTGTGATAATTGAGATAACAACTCAACTTATTGTACAGTCCTTCAGCCTAGAGGCCAGATGAAGGAGGAGAATGTTATTTAGGGAAGGTTATCATGTCCCATGGTGAATGTCCTCAGCTGAGGATCCCCATGGTGAACAATATTACTCTGCATTGGGGAGGGGAAAAATGTCATTCAATGGCCATGCTTGACTTCTTTGTTGGACCGTGACCTTCCAAAATAGTCAAAGGACTGAGAGGCAGGGTTCCCTAGATGTTGAAAGCACCAAGAATAACAAGTCAGGGTGGGAAGACCATGGGCCAGATGATAAATCTTTAGTGAATGAGGGTTTGGCACAGGGCAGGCCACAGATATTGACAACAAGAAGAGTGGAAAGAATGTAGCATGCATGCTACCAAACAATTCAGGCGTTTGGGGGGTTTTGTTTGTTTGTTGAGACAGTCTCCCTCTATGCCCCAGGCTAGAGGACAATGGGGTGGCATAATCCCAACTCACTGAAATCTCAAACTCCTGAGCTAAAGGAATTCTACAGTCTCAGCTTCCAAAGTAGCTGGGACTATAGGCACACACCACTGTGCCCAACTATATTTTCCATAAAATTTTTAGTAGAGACAGGGTTTCAGTCTTGCTCAGGCTGGCCTTGAACTCAGAGCTCAGGTTTTTCAAGAGTATTTGAAAGATAATGGTTTGAAAAGTGTCTATGAAAATCACACACCTCCTAACCCTGTAGGTTGTAGACATAGGAGAAAAAGAACAGTTCTGATTTGGTAGTGCTACCCAGGAAGCTGTCTTCTCATGGAAAATCAGATTTTAAATAGAGTAAAAGGGTAAAGTGAATGTTCCCTTCCACTCCAAGATAACTATCTCACATTCATCTCTCTTGCCAAAAGTCCCCTCAACGTTTCTTACTCAGCAGATGATTTCTCAACAGATCCTATTTCTTCCAGAAAAGAGGCATGATCATAAGAGAGCCTCCTCATATTCTAAAGGATTACATGGTTCACCCCTATAATCCTAGCACCCTGGGAGGCCAAGGAGGGAGGATCACTTGAACTCAGGAATTCAAGACCAACCTGAGCAAGAGCAAGACCCCATCTCTTAAAAGTAGGAAAATTAGCCAGGTGTTGAGGGAGGCACCTATAGACCCCTCTACTCAGGAGGCTGAGGCAGGAGAATCCCTTGAACTGAGGGGTGTGAGGTTGCTGGGAGCTAGGCTGATGCCAAGACCACTCTAGATCTGGGCAACAGAGTAAGACTCTGTCTATTTAAAAAAAAAAAAAAAAAAGAGGGCAAGGATGACAGACTGTTTCTCACTGTGCACATAGAAATGGAGTGGAGAAAGTTTAGAGAATTAATCAAATTAAATGTGCAAAGCCTTCCAGGATTAGAGGTCTATGATAAGAATATTCTAGGAGCTCGTCCCTCTCATGGTGACACAGGAATGTAAAGCTTGATGGAAATTATCTTGACCTTATCTGAGGGCAACAGGGATGATGAGTTCAAACATATCTTAGCAACTCAGGCCTTTGCAGAGGAAGACTAGGCAAGATTGAGTTTGAGTAAAAGTCTTGCCAGGAGCTTTGTGGGCCTTTATTTAAACCCTCGGCTCCAAGTGGGATTCAGATAAATTATGAGTAGTGGGGTTTGGAGGAGGAGTGAAGAAGAAGGTTTGCTCCTACTAATAATAATCAGAAATTGTCTTTACAAATAAATCCTGAGATTCACCAGTTCTAGTGGGTACTAAAACCATTTAAAATCAGTAATAATTAAATGGAGGTGTTTCTAGTACAAAAAGCTATGCCTTGAGGCTGGCACTATATCTCAGACCTGTAATCCTAGCACTCTGGGAGGCCAAGGCAGGTGGATTGTTTGAGCTCAGGAGTTGGAGACCAACCTGAGCTAGAGCAAGGCCCTGTCTCTAAAATAAAATCAAAAAAGATAGCCAGGCATTGTGGTAGGCACGTATAGTCTCAGCTACTTGGGAGGCTGAGGCAGCAGGATCTCTTGAGCCCAAGAGTTTGAGGTTGCTGTGAGCTATGACACACACAGCACTCTACCAAGAGTGACAAAATAAGAGTCTGTCTCCAAAAAAGTATGCTTTGGTCATTGGATTAGAATAGATTCGAATTTTACATACTCTCTAAAGGGAACATAACAAAACAATGTACAAAGTGATATTGATTTAATAAGATGAACTTAAATAATTTGGTTTAACTGAAATTAAAAATTTAGAAAGAATAAACTCTGAAGCAGAAGTACACCAAATAAAATAACAGATGATAAATAGTTGTCTATCTTAAATTGCACACAAACTTTATGTATAAATTTATAATTGTACAGTAATTATACATTTAAGTTGATAAATTAATAAATAGAATGGTTATGTACAAAACGTGAAAAAGATGAATTTTTACACTTGCAAACAACACAGAAGAGATTAAAAAAAGAATATATTTTGTTATATACAAGTTTCAAACTTCAGTATTCAATAATGTAAAAATTACATAATAAACCATTTAAACAGTCATTCCTAAAGATATCTAATTTTGTATATCTCAATTATCTTTATTATATTTTACATCTTAGTTACCTTTTAATTCTCATTACGATTCTCATTTATAAATTATCAGTATAGAACAAAAAAAAAAAATTCAGTCAATATGAATTACAGTGGACAAGATGTGGAACAATGCCAAACCTAAATATTATCAAGGAAATGATAAAGTAAAATAAAGTGTGGTATTTTTTCACTTATTAAATTACCAAAATATTAAATTATAGTGTACCTGTATGCCTTGCTGATACCCTTATGAAATGAAACAATTCTTTTTGGAAACAGTTTTATAATGTACTTTAAGGAATAAAATTTACTTGTTATTTAAACCAATTAATAACTTTTAAAAGTCTATGTGTAAGAAGATACCTATCATTCCATTATTTATGATAAAAAATATAACCTTCAAGTAAGTGAATAGAATGTTATGCAGTCATTAACAATAAATTTCATTGGCTGGGCATGGTGGCTCACGCCTGTAATCCTAGCACTCCAGGAGGTCGAGGCGGGTGGATTGCTTGAGCTCATGAGTTTGAGACCAGCCTGAGCAAGAATGAGACCCTGTCTCTATTAAATGTAGAAAAAATGAGGCAAGAGGATTGCTTGAGCCCAAGAGTCAGAGGTTGCTATGACCTATGACACCACAGCACTCCACTCAGGGTAATAGCCTGAGACTCTGTCTCAAAAAAAAAAAAATTCATGAAAAAGAGGTAGTCAAATGAAAAAGACAAGTCATATACAAAGTTAAAAAGCATATACCATATTATATGACTGCAGGTACATAAATACACACAAATGACTAGAAGATAGAATGCAAAGGTATTATTTGTTATACTAGGGTGACAAAATTATAGATGATTTTCCTCCAAATTTCCTGAAATAATGTTGAATAGTTTTGATAAAACTGAGTATCTTCCCACCACACCAGCTTTAGAAAAACTGGCCTGAGTAGATTGAAAACATGCCATTTCTTCTCTGAGTTTTATAATATCCTAAATTTTTTAACATTCTAGACAACTATATCAGATATGGAGGATAAATGGCATATTTATTTCAATCAGAGAATTAGAATATTGGTTCTAAGAGAATGTCAAAGACACCACATATCCAGCTTATCCATACATCTTTGATAGACTATTTGACCTGTAATAAAAAGAATGGAATTTCTTAGGATCAATCAGGAATTCTAAAATTGATACCTGCAAAAGTTTTCATCCCAGCAAAATGCTATCTGCAAGAAAGAAAGAGAACACACCACAGTTATGCAAGTACTATTTCAAATGCCTTCCAGGGGCTGATGTTATGAAAAGATGTGCCACCTTTATCTCAGGATGCATAGTCCTCAAAGTACTGCTAACATATTTATTGTCACCTTCTCAAAGTTCAGAAAATGTATGAATGAAGGAACGCTGTTGTATAGCTTAGATTTTCATGTTCAACTTGCAGCTGAATAAACCATAGGAATTCTTATTGAAATGTCCTCCAGCAGTTTTTATGCAGATGGCAGAACATAAACGCTTTGTTACAAACACATAAACACACACCACGCTTCATGACAGAGAATGATATAAGACCAATCAGTAGTATCAGTTGGTGTGTGGGAAAGCTGTGTCATAAAACTAGGGTAGAACCACATGCCTGTAAGAAACAATTCAATGAGTTTCCAGCTGAACTTCCTATTTCCCGTGGAGGCTGCCGTGGTTTCTTCTTGGCTTACACGAAGTTAATGATAAATCTCTTTGTGTCAGCCCTGGATAGAATGAAGCTGTGGAGTGGGTGTAATGCAGGGAAAATGTGTGTTTAGATTCCACAGGAGTTACTCCATTTTGTTGCAGAGAACAGATTGGAGTAACCAAGCCTCTGAGGGGCTAAGAGAAGCTATGTGCATCCTAGCTGATTTTGTTACAGACCTGTGTCCTCTGCTAAGTGCCCTGGGCCTGCTCAACCCACTAGACGCTAGAAAAGCCTTGATTTCACAAAGCAGCACTCAGAGGACATCCCGGCCAATTCTGTGTCTTCCTCTTTTCTCCAGTGGTTCAGTTCTGCTTCCTCGCATCCTCCAAGTATAGGGAGATTAGTAAATGCATCAAATCCTCAAGCTCTCGGTAAAGAGGCACACTGAACGGATCCAGAAGAAAACACAGCTTGTGTCTCCATATCCACTGAGCCCTTCTGTTTGTGTATGCTTGTTTATCAGAATACTATCAAGTTCTTCCTGGGAAGAGTACAATTTAGAAGGCATTTAGTCATGTTTGCTGAAGTGTTGCTTGCTCTTTTCTGCCATTTTAATGTTAAAAACTTGCCCATGTATTTGCATGATCATGACCGTAGCCTTGCGACTTCGGCCACATTCACAGCACACAGTTAAGGCATGTCAGTTTCTCAATAGACTTCAGCATCATGATCATGATTCTACTACCAGCAAATTATCAGATTTGGTTGCTAAAGCATAGCTCAGATGTTGCAGAATGATTTGGTTCTTGAAGACATGTATGAAATTCAGTTCAAGGAATATCTTTCTTCCAACCCTGGAAGTGGGATTTATGGACGTTCATCTACAGTAATTATAAAGTGTAGTAAATGTGATTTAAACGCTTATTGACATGTAGTATAGTAAAAAATTCATTTAAGAAAATTATTCAGACAAAATTTAGAAAATTAGATTCTTCATCCTCATTCCCAAACCTGCTTTGTGTGACTTTTTATTTATCCTCACCCATTTTATTTTATTTCTGTAATAGCTCCACCATCCTCCAACTTACAGGGGAGTTCCAGACTGGATATCTAATTCCTCAACCGCCTCTTTCACTGCCTTGCCCCTTTTTCCACGTGCTCTTTGTCACCTAAGCATTCAAATGCTTAGGGCTCTATAATTTTCCCCCTCTCTGTCACAAGTCCCTTACAATCTATCAAGTATGCTATTACATCACTGCCGGTAGGGCTTCCTCTTCCCCTACCACTGAGACACTCATCTTCCCAAAGCCCCTTCACTCACATAGTCAAACAATCTCTGTTAACTCCACGTCACGCACTCCTTACACGGCCCTCAAAGCCCACCGTAATGTTGACACAAGCAGATTCCTCAGTGCCCTTTCTTGGTCCTCCCTCCCATGTCCCTTTTTCTTCAGCCAGACTCACCTCCTGCTTCTGTGCTTTTGCTCAAACTTGAATTGTCCCTCAGCTGCTTCTCTCTATGCCCCTTTAACAACCAATTCTATATACTTTGACTGATGGCTCCATATTTTAGAGCATTCAGCCTTCATGCACATGTGTCATTAATCTTATAAAACTACGATGTTTTGCAGCAAATGTTTGCTAGCCACCTGATGCTCTTTTCCCTTTCTTTTTCAGCAGCACCACCCCCCTATAGTTACGACCACGAGATGGAATACTGCGCAGACTTGCCGCCTCCGTACTCCCCGACCCCACAGCCTTCAGCACAGCGCTCTCCACCCCCTCCTTATCCTGGAAATTCAAGGAAATAATCCTTCCCCCAGAACAGCACATGTACCAACTAGTGATCTTGCCTGGAATGAAATGTCTGTGCTCAGAAACAGACAGGAGTCAGATAGTATTTCAGGTGGAATGGCCATGCTAAGAGATAGGATTCCTACCCTGCTCAAAGCTGACCTCATCTGGAGTGTTATGTTTGGATCTGGGAGACCACATTTTAAGAGATCCTCTGATCCACTTCTCTGTACTCTCCACTTAAGCACAGAGAAGAGTAATGAGATGGATGAAACATCTGATAATCGGGGTGTTTAGGGACTAAATGAAGGAAATTTTGGAAAAGAGAAGAGCTAAGTGGGGCAGAAGGATAGTTTGAGCTACATAAGGAAGCAACTCTACATAGTTTCAAAAGTCAGGACTAGAATAATCCCTTCTTTCATTCACTAGTAAACGCATACTGAATGCCTGCGAGCCTACTATGTGCCTGGCACTGTTTGAGGCACCAGATGGAAATTACATAAAGGGAGCTCTGGGTTTAGTATAAGACATAAGGCTTGGAGCTTTCTGATTCCCTAGATTGTTTTATGAAGCTTCCTGTTGCCAAGATTTCAAAACAATTTGGCTGACTATCTGGCAGAGACACGCTCTAGAAGAGATACCTAAGTCAAACGGCAGGTGGGTCCAGTGGGCTGCACAAGTTCTGCTCCTGTTTGGGGTAGACGTGTAGTGAATTTATCCATGTTCAGGAACGAAAACAACAGGAAGAGTTGAATCTTATTTGTTTAATTAGAGAGTTAAAACAGGATCAAAGGGATTCAACAGCTGCTTAAAGCCAAAAAAACTCTTCAATGCCAGCTACTGCCACCTAAAAGGCATCTGGCTTTATTTAGCTGATCAGGTAAAGGTTATGGCAACTGTGAAAGGAAGAAACCATATCAAGTCCTACAGGCCAGAAATACTTCACGTCAGAGTAAAAGATGAGGAGCCAACTATTCCACAGGATTTCAGGTCAGGGAGTGAGATTGGAGAACTTGACCATAACGAGACACAGCAGGCCTGCAGAAAGAATTAAGAGGGGGAAATGAAGCTTGAAATCTCTTCTGTGAAAGTATTGGACACTTTTTTGTTTTCCTTTTGTAAAATTTTGATAATGTATTCTCTTTAAAAAGTCATACAGTTCACTGAAAAGGTTGAGATAGTGACATCAAACTGTCAGTTTTTGCCAAAATGCACATTTTATGAAGTGCCTACCTTTAGAGGTAAAAACATTGGATAAATAATTCTGATGTGCCATATTTTGCTGCAAGTGACCTTAACATTTCTACAATGTTTATGAGAGTCCTTTCATGTATGTAAAACTTTGTATGTTGAATGTTGGGAATAACCATATTTTTGTGTCACTCTAAATGTTTAAATCTAAACTGTTTAATCCAACATCATCATCATTCAGTGATATCCCAAAGTGATGCCAAGAATTTTGAATAGGATGGTCAAAACAAACATCTTAGGGTATAAATTATGTTAAGAAACTTACTACATAGTCAATAGAATGACCATATCTTATCATACTTTAAAATACCTCCACTAGAAATACACCAATCTGACGGAAATAAAATCTAACTGCCAGTAAGGTCTAAAGCAGTGGTTCTCAACCTTCCTAATGCCTCAATGTATTTTCATTGTTAAAAAGGGGTCGTGACCCACAGGTTGAGAACTGCTGGTCTAAAGGCTAGATTTGTTTTTAATGACTTCCTTGATTTTTAGACTCTGGTGATTTTCTCACATATAAAGACACAAAGCATTCAAGACTTCCAGCGTGTTCTAATGAGGACTCCCTGACTTACGTGAAGTGGTTTTAGCCCAATTTAATAGTACATATGCTTTAATTTATTTCTCTTCTGTGTGGGATCAGACCCAACTACACTGCGGCTAAGATACTCCAAGTACCAGCGCCTGCATGATTTGAGAATGTAGGGTGCAAATACACTATACCTTCCTTAAGAAAAATGGAGAGAAAAGACCCGCGGAAATAGAATTTTCATCATCTTCACCATCAATAAACATTTATTGCGTGCGTCCTGTGTTCTGTAAATATTCCCCGCATCGAGGCCATTTCGGTCCCCTCCATCTCTCTTCTCTGAGTTGTTTATGGCCTCCCTTAAGGCATACCACAAACCCATAGACCCACAATAGATGAGTCTTTTTTACTGTTTGTATTTAATGTCACAATACCATAAATGTGCACATTATCAGTGTAGACTTTTGGAGTTCACTGATTGTTTTCATAGATGATGCTTCTTGGGGGGAAATAGCATATGGATGTGAAAGCTTTGAATTATGGTTGAAAACTAACATATTTGCTGTGGCCAAAGTGTTTACGACAAGCAATAAAGTGAAAGAACCTGTTATAATCGGGATTATATTTTCTTTGTCTTGCGTCCATTCCTTGTACCCATTTCTTTTCCTGCTGATTTAGCTTTGTTCTTCTGTACAGGAAACACAGGAATGAAGCCAGACAGACTTTATTTTAAATCCTGTCTCCTACCTGTGTGATTTGAGGCAGGTGCTTTCATCTCTTTGAGATCAACTTTCTGCTCTGGAAAATGTAAACAATATAATCAGCCTCATCAAATTTTGCCAAACTCGGATGGATATAGGCAAAATTCTATGCATAGTGCCAGGCACATACAAACTGTTCTATAAGTATTAGCCAAGAATAAATGAACAAAAGAACAATATCACAAGAATAGCCTCTAGATCTGTGCTGTCCAACAGCGTGGTCACCAGCTACATGTGGTCACTGAAGTTTAAATTAATTGAAATTAAATTAAGTGAAAAATTCAATTTATCTAACCTGATTTCACGTGCTACAGAGCCTCATGTGGTGAGTGGCTGCCTCACTGAGCAGTGCTGCTCTAGAAAAATCTACACGGAATGCAATAAGCTAGGGAACAGTTGAGGGAGAAACCCCTTCAGTGCCTCCCCCAGGAGAAACTATGGACTTTGTCAGTTCGCTGTGATGTCCTTCACTTGTATGTGTGCAGAGTCCGTGGCTATGGAATCAAATTCTAACTTGCATGAGAAGCCATGAGCGATGAGTGCCTCTCTCCAGGGCCAGGATAGGGAAGCTACTGCCAGAACTGAGCAGCTGAAGACAGAAGACAGACCTTGGACCTGGTGTTGGAGCTGGCACAGCCTTTTCTCAGAATCTAATTAATTCTGCAGCTGCCTTCTTAGTTCCCAAAGCCATTACAGGGCATCCAGGGCTATGCACGTCTTCCTACCATGCAGCACAGGGGTGTACCCCTTCTGTTTGTATGATCTCGTTCCCTCTGCCAAATGACAGCAGCACTCTCCACATGCCTACTCGACTCCTAAGTTGCCCTTGTTTAACCAAACCCATTTGCCAACTTTGGGTTATAGGCAAGGCACAGTCACCCACATTAGACTGGACATGGAGCTCCTCAGTTAGTGGAACTCTGGATACAATTATTTTATTTTTCACTTACTTAAAACAACCTAACACAGGAATGCCATAATCAATGGTTATCTTGCCAATCACCATGGAGACTTCTAAGAACTATCAAATCCTCAAAAAGGACCTGCTTGAAAAGTGCAATTTTTCTTTTATTCTGTGAGATAGAGTCTCACTGTGTCACCCTTAGTAGAGTGCCGTGGTGTCACAGATCATAGCAACCTCAAATTCCAGGACTTAAGTGATTCTCTTGCCTCAGCCTCCCAAGTAGCTTAGGACTACAGGTGCCCGCCACAACACTTGCCTATTTTTTTTTTGTTGTTGTTGTTGTTGCAGTTGTTTAGCTGGCCCAGGCTGGGTTCAAATCCACCACCCTTGGCGTATGAGGCTGGTGCTGTAACCACTGTGCTATGGGCACCAAGCCCAAAATGTGCAATGTTTATTTTCTGACTATAGGCCTGAGTTACATGGGACACAGCTGAACTTGCGCAAGTGCAGTACTCACCATAGGCGACCCTACTGTGTAGCCTGGCTCAGTCTGAGCAGTGTCAGGACCTCCAGAATAGGAAAGTGACCTGACCAACTTTAACAGGTCCACAGGTGATTTTGATTTCCACCCTCCTCAGTCCCACCCCTGCCTCCTCTCTAATGCAGCCAAAAGAACCAAAGACCATGGATTCTCTCTCTTCTCTCTTATCTTCTAACTGCATGTTCTGAGCCAAGTAACAGAATTTTCCTAACTTCAGTTTCATCTGAAATATGTGAAAAGCACCATCCTTGCCAGGTTGCTGTGATTATAAACAGTGTATGCAGAACATCTGTCACAAAGATCCCATCTGGGTGGTAACTCAGACAGACACACATGTATATACATCTCTCTCCAACCTTTGCGCCCCACTCCCAAGCCTTGCCACTTCTATAATCAGATGTGCTAGGCATCCATTTCTGCGTAGCAAATTAACTCAAAACTTAGTGATTTGAAACAACATTTATGATCTCAATTTCTATAGATCAGGAATCTGAGTATGGTTTAGCTGGATCCCTGGTGCAGGGACTCGCTACAGTCATCTCGATGTGCAAACGAGGAAGGATGTGTTTCCAAGCTCACTCACATGCATGATCTATGACAGGATTCATTTCTTTGAAGGCTTTTGGACCAAGGACCTCATTTCCCCACTGGCTGTTGGCCAGAGTCCACCTTGAATTTTTTTTTACCATATGGTCCTCTCCGTAGGGCAATTCAGAACAGCAAGCAAGGAAAAGTTGGAGAGTGGGAATGCTACAGAGAGCGCTAGCAAGATAGAAGCCACGACTTTTCAAACCCAGTCTTAGAAGTGATATTCTATTTCTTTTGCCATATTCTATTCCTTAGAATCAGGAATGAATCCTAAGTTCATTCCACACAAAAGAGGAGGGGATTACAAGAGAAACCAAGAGGCAGAGAGCTTCAAGGGCCATCACAGCAGTCAGTGGACTGTAGCGAGCATATTTGATCTCATTCTCCTTAAGTGGATTCTTATTTCCTGTACTGCCAAAATCTCCAAACATTGCCTTGAATTA